GCGTATGTTGTCTACTTTGTCATCAGAAGAGGCAGGTACCTCGACTGTAGTGAACAGAAGCTCCAGCCATACAAAAGAAGAAATTGTTTCCAGTGGCGGAAGTAATTTTCAGGGAACATTTCAAAATTGTACATTTATTATTTGTAATGACGTGAATAAATAAAATATGGTTCAGTTTTCATTTCTATTTATTTTTACTTGTGAAAGGTAGAGGGAATTATAAAATCTATAATGTCCCAAGGGAGTTATGACCCTCTTTATTGATAGCGTAACTATGACGATATAAGCTTATAATATCCCGGTCAGAAATAAACATATATATTGATAAAAAGAAATAAAACATGTAGGTATACTTTTTCTTTGTCTGACAATGTCAAAACTTCACATAAATGTTATTTTTCAATGAAGCATGATGCTTTGATAAGATAATCGTGAATTCTGAAGGGATAGTTGGTTGATACTATTTTCATTATTATGTTTTTGGTGTAGTTCTAGTAAGTTATTACATATGCTATAACATATAGCTAATTATTTACAAGTTCTTTCAAGATGCAATTTCTTTCAAGTCAAAAAGATGTCTCTTTAGTGAACAGCACTTCTGATGCAAAGTTAGGGTGGTTAACAATTGAAGAACCACCAACAAAATGCGAAAAATCACTTAGTACAGGGTACAGGATCTAAACAGCAAAGTGACTAATGTCAACTGCAGTGCTGTTTCCAAACGAATAATTGATAACCTTAGGTTAGGTTAGGTTTATGAGTCTATTTAAAACTATATCTCAGTAAGTAAGTATTCAATTTAATTGAAATAAGGGCCATTTGAATCACTGGACTTTTGCCAACGTAACACAAGTCCATTAATTCAGCACTACTGGAAGGTCGACCAGATATTTTTCTCGAGAGAATTTATCTAGTTGAAGTTGAGATGATGCTGCAACATCACATGGCTGAAGAACTGAGAATAGCCATGATGCTTCCTAGGTGGCTCGGGAAGTTATTAAGATTGCCTACTCAGGACGCGAGGCTAATGACCAATGTAGTCGATGCCGATGACACCAAGAAATAAAAACAGAAAAGGTTAGTGTTAGTTTAGTTGCCTTCCTATTTGTGGTGTAATTCTTTGCACGGTTGAATAGAAAAAAAATCCTCAATCAAATGAGCTGTCACTCACCACCCCATGCTATTTAACTTTTTCGAAAGGGTTGCTTCCCTCTAGTAAGGGATGAAATTAGGGGTGAACTGTTCATACTCAAATGTACATTGTAGAAATCAAAAATCGACGTGTCTCGGCGATTTCCCTAACAAGAGTCCAGTGACGAGTTAGATAGGGGGGTAACACTTATGATGAGCGTTGTATAAGTCATTAAGTTTAGAAATAGAACAAGAGCGTTTCACAAAATTC